GGGAAAGAGAATTATAGTCTTCAAAGTTTATGATTAAAAATTATATATAAAAGAATATGTTGGCAACTTTGAAGCGCCAAAGTGTTATGATTCTTTTTTTTTGCTAAATTTACATGCAAACGATGAGCCCGTTTGGTTCATAGATTAGAACCATGAGATTAGAACTATTTTCAATTTACATGTGTTTTTTGTGAGAGAAAATACTGTAGCGAACCATGATTCGAATCAGAGAACGAATCATCTAACCAAACGGGCTCTAATATGATCAGATGATCCAAAGTGTACATTATTAATTGCGTTAAAGGACAAGAAATACGATATATAGAATATTCATCTTTATAATTTTAAAGTTTCTTCTATTTATGTTTTATTTTAGGGTCCCTTCAGTTCGTTGATTCGAGTTTTTAATTCGAGTTGAGATGTGACTTTATATAATAACTTTTTACTGTAGTAAAAAAGTTAAATGTGATTGTTTATGAGAGCTTTTTATTATAGCAAAACTCGAATCGACGAAATGAACGATGCCTTAATCTTTCATCTTATTTTTCTACAATGACAAAAACACTGTTTGGAAATTTGTAGCCACAAATTTCCAAATTCCTGAGTGATCGGCGCAACTCACTAAAGTCACCCATTGGGCGACCAATGGTCACTTATTGGGCGACTAGTAGTTGAAAAACTTTCAGAGTCACCTGTTCTCATCATCTTGAACAGGTATTGTATGAGGCTAGCTCACTGTCGTAGCTAATGATCAACCACATGTATTTGTGCAACTCAAAACAAGATATGTTGATAGTTGAAAACAGCATTTTGGTACAAATTAAAAATTCATAATGGTGAATAAATCTTGAGCACCTCTAATCATTTTTATAGGATTAAAATCTCGTTACTCATATAAGATGGGTTCCGTTAGGCGAGTAGGTAGGAACAACCTAATAGGACGCACAACTTTATGAGTACAAAATTTTATTCCCATAAGAATAAATATCATTTTTCATAAACCTTTACCAAACAACCTCGCAGGTCGAAGCTAAGCTTTCTAGCTCCAACGTTAGAATGACCATATCAGTCCAAAATATTTATCCACCCTTGAACGTAGGTGAATCTTCAAGGGGATCCAAGCTTTAGAACTTCCTCTAAAGTTCATGTAAAGATTAATTCCTTGAACCATGATTCTAATCTATCTAATTGCCAATGCACTAGTTTCAAGTGTTATATATCAACGAAAACATCAAAACAGAGATTGCGATATATTGTCGAGATTCATATATACGAACGACACAAACTAAAATATATATATGGCCGAACTTCATACATCAACGAAAAAGATGAGAAAATATTTCTCAATAATTTAATGTGATTCTTGCTCTCATACGACATTTAAAAAAATTGTAAGAGGTGATAAATACTTTATTCACCATATGAAGATCACAAGTTAAATCATCGAGAAATTTGATAAAAAAAAGACATACCTAAATTTATTAAGAAGCAAAAACGGGATTATTAGTCTTCCAATAACAATACGATATGGTTAGATTAGGGACCATAACTTATTTATATTTGTAGGGCATTTTTATTTCATTTATTGGCCCATCATAAATAATAAAATAAAATATTTATGTCTCGTTCATTTCACCGATTTGAGTTTTTAGTTTTAAGTTTATACAGTAAAAAGCTCTCAGAAAATGTCACATCTAACTTTTTTTACTACAGTGAAAAGTTCTCAGAAAATATCACATCTCAACTCGAATTGAAAACTCAAATCCGCGAAGTAAACAAGACCTTAATCTGTACACATTGTAAATGATAATGACAAAATACTTTGAGATGCTATCAAATCCACCTTTTGACACTTCATAACGACAATCCTCAATTCTTTGAACTTATTAAAAAAAAAAAAAAAAAAACTTTTTAGATCGTGTTAATGATTAAGATATTCTTTTATGGCATTATTCACACTTTAACTTCTCTTGGTAATTGTCATGTTTGCACAAAAGGTCTCCTTGCCATAGACTAAAGCCCATTTCTCTCTTAAATAAAACATTCATATTAACCAATCATTATCCTTAAGATTATATTTTTTTAAGCATATGCTCCCAAGCTTAAAAATATCACCCTCTTCTTCATAATCATTTATGCAACTACTAAAATCTCTAGTAAAATCCCGAAAAAAAACACCGAAAAACCCAACTAAGTCTTTTTGCTGTATTGTTATATATGCCAAAACACCAAAACGATGATAAGTCTCTCTGGCCATTAGGAAGCTAACATTGCTGTAATAAAGGCATCAAACAACCACTTAAAAGATTTCTATTGTTTCATCGTATAATAATGCAACTCAAAAACAACAGTTTAGTTATGATGGTTCACGCTAAGAAACATAACAAAAGGCTTATCTTCTTTTTTTTTTAGTATCAAAGCTAACTACCTCACCAATACTATGTTTAGTAGGATGAATAAAAAATAGGAAAAATTAGAAGTAAAATAACTAGGTAAATGAAATAAAATAGTAGAATTAAAATTTTCTCTCATGTTGTTTAAAAGGCGGACCCTAAGGTCAAAGAGGCTCCTGTACTATGACAGGTTCAGAAAAAAGCTCAATCTCATATGTACGCGGCCTTATCCCCCGAAAGAGAGGTTGTTTCTCTCATGTTGTTTGATAAAAAAAAAATAAAAATAAAAAGAAAATGATAAATATTAAGCATTTTACAATAATATCTTAATACAAATAAAAATATGATAAATAATGAACGTTAAAATTACTATTTTATACTATTTATTTGTCAAACTTTTTATCTTTTCTTTTCTTTTCAAAATTAAAAGGATTAAAAACTGATGGCTTTATAAATTTTTATTTTCTTTCGTTCATCATTTTCTCTTTACTCAACAAACTAAAATTCTATTTTACTTTCTAAAATATTTTCTATATTTTTTTTTCTCTTACTTTTCTATCCTACCAAACACCAAACACACTGTAAACGAGGAGCGATCTAGCGTCAGTCATGAACTCCATTGGTAACTGTAGAATGGTGGTCTGTCAGTCCGTTTGATGTGTGGGTCCCATTTATGTGGACTTTTTATTGATAATTTTTATTTTTATTTTTATTTTCCAATCGTGATTAATTGGCTCGTTAAAATATCACACATGGACCATGGTACAAATTATTAACTACTATTTTTCTCGTCAAAACTCAAAACACATCACTCATTATTTATCTTTAAATAATTGTTTATTTTCCTAGTTTTTATTACAACTTTTTGTCATCATATTTCTTTTTGACGTCCAATTTAAATTTAAACTAAGTTAAATAGTCAAAAATACAACTTTGTAAATTTTTTTATTCTATAAAAAAAAAGATTCTTAAACTT